GAGCCCGGCCCGGCCCGGCCCCCTCAGCGCGGCGCGCCGGGCGAGCGGCTCCGCGCGGGCCGGGCCCGGCGCCACCTCCGCCAGCGCCTCGCTCCCTCCTTCTCGGCAGCCCGCCCGCTTATCCCCGTTCCCTCCACGGCCTCCGAGGCCACCCAGTTTTCCTCACCGGCGCCGTTCCCTCACGCCGGTCCCGGTCCCGGCCCGGCGGCCCCTGACGGTGACGGCGCGTCGGGGCGGAAGCGGAAACGGGCGCGCGGCGCGTGCGCGGCGGGGGCGCCGGGAAGGGAGGGGCCCCGGAGGGCGCGCGCTCAGCCCCGCCCACCGACCACGCCCCCCCCTCTCCCCTCACGCCGTCATTAACCAAAGTCAATTAACGGAGATCAGAGCCAGAGGGTTTTTATTGCGGCCGGTTCCCCCTCAGCAGCCCGGCCACGGGTCCTGCCGAGCGCTCCTTGTCAGGAAGGCGATCCTGCGCGCCATCTCGGCGCAGTACACCCGCCGGCACGCCTCGAACGCCCGCCGCCGCCGCGCCCGGCTCGGCTTCTCGTAGTACCGGGAGCGCCGCACCGCATCGGCCACGCCGTCCTGCGCCAGGATCCTGCGGGAGGGCACGGAGAGAGCGCTGGCAGAGCAGGGAACGGCCGAGGAGCGAGGAACGGCCAGCCCGCGCTGCCAGCCCTGGCACAGCTCGGTCCCGGTGCGGGCCCTCGGCTCGGTCCCGGTCCCCGGTGCGGGCCCTCGGCTTAGTCCCCGGCCGGGCCCTCGGTTCGGTCCCGGTGCGGGCCCCGGCTCAGTCCCGGTGCGGGCCCCGGCTCAGTCCCGGTGCGGGCCCTCGGCTCGGTCCCCGGCCAGGCCCCCGGCTCGGTCCCGGTCCCGGTGCGGGCCCTCGGCTCAGTCCCGGTGCGGCCCCCGGCTCGGTCCCGGTTCCCGGCCGGGCCCTCGGCTCGTTCACCTCGCCGTCCACCCACGAGGAGAGCGAGGAGGGGAAGGAAGGCGCCGAGCTCCGTTTGAGGCGGGATTTGGGACGGTGTGTGAGCACAGAGCTCGGCCATGGCGCCGCCTCCTCCTGCGCTTCCCGAGGAATTTTCCTTTATTTCGCTCTGCTCGCACCGGAGCGGACTCGGAGCTCATGAGGAAAGCCCGGCACGGCCCTCCCGTCACCTTCCGCTCCAGAAATTCTGCTTCTGAAGGCAGTGCGTGAAGGAGTCGGGGCCTCTCCGGGTTCCCCCGGTGCTCACCTGTTCAGGACGCCGTACGCCGCCTCCACGTTCCCGTTCTGCACCATCACCGTGCGGCCCACGAAGCGCAGGTGGTTCGCCATGGCTGCGGGACGGGGCGGCTGGCACCGGGGAACCAGTCCCTGCTCCCCGGGACCCGGTATAGAGAGGGGCCGGTGCTCCCCGCCCCGCTCCCGGTGACACGGAGAGCCCGAAGGGAACGCGGCAGGGACCCCCCAGCTCACGAACGGCCTCCCCCGCCCCCGGCTGGCAGCTCCCGGTAGGATCCCGGTCCCTCTCCCGCTCCTCTCCCCGACTGACCCCGGTGAAGCCGCGCCCGCACCGGAGGTGGCTGACGGCGGAACTTCCGTTGGGAGGGATTTCCGGTATACCGGGATTTCCGGGACCGGAGGCACCGCGGGCACTCGGCGTCCCGCAGCGGAGGGGACACCGAGGGCGGCTCTGAGCCCCCCGGGGACAGGAGCGCTCCCCCTCCCGCCCCACCGAGGCACACACGACACGACACCGGCTGGCCCCGGCCGCTCCCGCGGCGTTTATTGCTTCCAGCAGGGCCGGCTCCGGGCCCTCCCCACTCGGGGGGTCCGCACCCACCGTTCTGGGGGGGCCACGCTCCCCCCCGAGCCGCCGGGGGAAGGCACAAGCCCGGGAGGGCCCAGCCCCGGGCTCCGCTCCGGCCAAGGCACGCGGCCGCCCCGGGCTGGGGGCTTCTGGGGGGGGAGTTCGGGACCCCCCCGGTCAGTCCCGCCCGCCCGCGGGTCTCACTGACCACCGGTAAAAAAAAAAAAATTCAAAAAAAAAAGGCAAAACCGAGAAATGCAGATGAGATTTCCCCCCCCCCGAGCCGGGGGGGGCGTCACACGTCCGGCGCCGGGGGGGACTCGGGGGGCCCGGCCTGGCACGGCGGGGACCCCCGCTGCTGTAATGTCCCCGCGGGGCTGGCCAGGGGGAGATCCCCGGGCAGGCGGCGGCACCGGGGAGCCCCGGGGGGACCGGCGGGGGGGCGGCGGCGCGGGGGAGCCGCGGGGGGAGCCGGCTCCAGCGCGGGTTTGGGGGCGACGTGGGGGAACCAGAGGCGCAGCATGGCCTCCACCTGCAGCAGCGTCCCCAGGTAGCGAGCGCTGCGGGGACAGAGAGCTCCTGTCACCGTCTGCGCGGCGGGGACACCCCCGTGCCCGCCGCCCCCCGGGGTCGCTGGGGACGCTCACCCCATTTCTGGCTTCTGCAGGACCCCGATGATCCGCTGGAGCCGGTCCATGGCCACGCTCTGCTGGAAGCTGCTCAGCCCTGGGGAGGCCCGAAATTGGGTGAATTCTCCCCAAAGGCAAGGAGATGCTTGCGGGAGGGGGCAGAAGGGGTGGAGGGCACCCACCTCTGTCGTAGCGGCCGCGGCGCAGCCCCTCCAGCAGCTCCGCCAGCGGCCGGATGAAGCCCCGGAGCTCCCGGCACTGCCGAGGGGAGGAGGAGGTGACCGAGCTGCAGCCACACTGGGGAGGGGGTCTCGAGCACCCCCTCCAAACCCCACTTACCTCCCTCTCATCCCACCCACCCATCTCAGGTGGGGAAACTGAGGCACGCCCAGCTTTTTTTTTTAGTACGCCAAGCCCTCCCCCACCTCCTCCTCGGGGGGGTTTTGTGCCAAAAGCTCACCTTTTGGGCAAAGAGGCGATCTCCATCGCTGGGAGGGGCGTCGCCCCCCTCCCCTTTCCGCGGGCGTTTCCCCCCGCGGGGTGCCGGTGGCGATTCGGGGGGTGCCCGCTCCAGCCCCCCCGGGCGCTTGCGGCTGCGCTCGGCTTTGGGGGGGCTCCGGGGGGAGCTGCCGGCCTCGGCCTCGCTGTCAGAGGCAGGGGAGCCGCAGGAGCAGGCGCGGGCGGGGGGCTCCATGGTGGCCCCCCCAGGGGAGCCTCTGGCTGCGTTCAGCTCCAGCAGGGTCACCCAGCCGAGGCTGCCTGGGGGAGGGAGAGACGGAGAGAAACACCGGGGGAAATCGGACAAAAATGGAAGACAAGGAACTGCTCTGTTCTCCCGCGGGGATGTCAGCCCCGCGCCCCCAGTGCTGCCTCACAGGGGGGAGCAGATTTGGGATCTCCTGAGACAGGGGGAGGGTGTGGGGACCCACCTGGCAGTGGGACCCTTCACCCAGGACCACCTCCAGCCCTAGGAGACCCCCAGGACACCCCCAGCCCCAGGACACCCCCCAGCCCCAGGA